GCCCCTGGAGCACACGCAGCATGACGCGGTGGACAACACGTGCTTATCTGGAGGGTGACACCACCCTCTCAGCGCGTCACAGGAGAGTGACATAATCAAGGTGTGCATATCAAGGTGGCACAAAACGTGTTGATCCAAGGCTGATGAGCTGAGAGACACTCTGCTGCTCCCGCCCACCCCGCTCTGGGTGACTGTGGACCTGTCGGAGACTCTACCTTGCAAGACGCTGACCAGCTGCCTCCAGGTCCCAGACCTGATCTGGACTCTTACTCCCCAGTTCTCTTGTGGGATGTTATTGCTGACTGTTTCTGAGAGATTATTGTCATTATTGGGTTATTATTATTATTGGGTTATTATAGGTTTGGATGAACCTGCATCAATAAAAGCTGAGTGAACAGCACAATTACCTGTGCTGACTCACTGTCATTCCTTGGGGCTGATGTTGCCTGTAGGGTAGGCGGCCCTATAAGCTGCAGCTCTGGTCCCTGACAAAGGCTGGAGGCTGCCTTACAGATAAGGAAGACTATAGTGTGGATACTGTAACAGAGCCCACTGGGCCTGCTACCGCCAAAAAGCTCCTCGTGCCCCACCCTGACACAGCACTTCCACCCTCCTGCTCCTCCCTCCCCGGACCTGTTACCTCAAGGAGTAAATACTACAGAAAAGACTTTGTCTTCTTGGATATTTTCACTTTCCTTGGGTGTAAACACAGTCAGAAAGGCTTGTTTCAATGAAAGCCCTATGTACAATTTAACTGTGCTTTAATTTGGATTAGACTAGGGAAAGACCATTTTTAGTGTCCTAAGAACGTACTCTGAAATATTACTTCCAGATCCAGCCAGAGCTTTGGGATGGTTATGCAGCTCATATGTTCGAGCAACCTGGATCTCTTCCATGGCCAAGTTTTTGTAGTAAGATCTGCATTACAACTCAGGCAGTAATCAGGTCAAGTTCAAAGCTCTGTTTTTCCAAATGCCTATAGAACTGCTGGTGGTCTCCTTACAACTCCTAGGTGGAGGTTATACTCACATTTAATGTCAGAAGGTAAAATCTTTTCTTTTTTAAATAGTGCTTGATTTGATTTTGGATAGTGCTGTTTGATTTATCAAAAATAATCTATTACAATGCTAATAGTTTGCAATTTTGTTGAAACACACCAAAAGAGGCAATGTTGTCACCCCGTCATAGGTGCACTCTTTACTTCTCCACTAACCGGGAGTTGGGGGCAACTCTGAAAATGAGAGCAACATTCATTAAACAAGCAAACCTACCAACAAACCCACATGTTTAGCTTCACATCGAAATCAGAAACAAGTAATCTTAGCTTCTCTTTCAGCTGTCACATTTGGTTTCCTTCAATAGATAACGATTTTTTCCTAGGGTTAGGCAACACATTGAAACATTTTCACACTTCAGAGTATGGAAAATGTGATGTACTGCTAAGCTAATGTCTGCATACTAAACACAAATTTAAAATGTGCTTGCAAAACCGTACTTATAGTTAGTTTTCGTATGGGGATACACCATGACTGTAACGAAATATGATAAACACTAAACATTTCACCTCCAAAAGGAACATTCCTGAAGGGGTGGATATCGTTAAAATAGATATTGGATTGCACCACAAGCCTAGATAAGCTGCCGATTGTCAGGAAAGTCAGTTATACAGTTGAAGCAAAAAATCTGTTCTGCTAAATCATCTGTACCAGGGCATTTTTTATCAGACTCGGCAAAAAGGGGAGACTATAAAATACGTGCCTAACAAAACATGTCAGCAGTTTGAATGGAGCAAACGAGTCCAAATCTGAGAATTCTAATAAATAAATGAAGCCGAGCATTTATTGCCAACGACCGTGTCACTGGGGCCACAGAACGCTGGAGCCGTGCAGCTGGGGGGCGGGTGTGTGGAGCCGGGGCGGCACTGGACGGCGCCCAGGCTTTATTATTTATGGCGTGCTGATGAAGAGACAACTTTCCATATGAGGAACAGCTTAACAGAGGAACAGTCAAGCTGAACCAGGAAGAGAGCCAGAGAAAGAGCGAGAAACAAAAGGGGACATGAATAAAAATGACAGCTAATAAAACAATACAAATCTAAAATGCTGTAACTTTCAGAAATAATTTAGGGCCAAAGGAAAAGAAAAAAGAAATCTCATTTTGCTGGCCTTGCGACAATTTTCCAAGAAGCACAAGACATTAAGCAAAATGCATGTGCAGAATTTAAGACCTATTTGTCTCTATGCCTTTCTAGCTGTTTGGTTGTTCCTAAAGCTGGATTTGTTCATAAACAGGGAAGTGGCGATTTTGTTTGTATTTAGTTAATGTATCCATTTTTTAAGAAATACGTATCGAGCACTATTCCATGTCAGGTGCTGGACCCTCTGGGGCTACGTGCTCAGCCAAGACACAGCTCCTGTCCTCAAGAGACTTATGACCTACTGTGGGCAGCAGGAAAGACCATGGTCAAGTTCAGGACACTGGGACAGGCACTGTGATGAGCTAGGCCAGGGCCTCTGAACCGCACGGAGGAGCAGCCTGGGGGGCGGGGCGGGGGGGACTCCAGGCCCAAAGTGGAGCCTGGGATGGATAGTTTCATCCCTACATTCTGGGCTTGAGGCTCACCGCTCGCTGTGTCAAATGATTTTTTTATGGTGTAACAGACCTCCTCTTTCAAGTCTGACCAAAGGCACAGCATTAGCCACTAGTTACTGCGTGGCCCACCTGTGGCAGTCACTTCGTTTGTGCTGAACCATGCTTCACAACCACACCTGGAGGTGGGGCCATCACAGGCATCTTACAGACCAGGGACTGGAGCCAGAGGAAGGTGCCTCTCTCCAGGTCCCGTGGAGTAGGCGTCATAGCACTTCTGCCCCTCGAGGCCCTTGGGCCCAGCAGGCAGGTTAGGACCTCGAGAACAACCCGTCTGCACCCAAGGAGGGCATATCCGTGAAGACCCATTGGCTTCACTGTTCCCAAAAGTTTCTTTAGCCGAATCACTCCCTCTTTTCTTCTCATCTTTTCCCACCATTCTCATGGAAACAGTGCTACTATACTAATAAGGGCAGAAATTTCTTATCTTAGTTGACTTTGTAACACAGGGAAGTGTTTCTAGAAGCAGAGAGCTGTAACAAACGTTTCAGAGGATGAGGTGTGGCTCGGGGGGCACACTCCCCTCCCTTCCCTGCAGATGGATGCTCTGATGAGCCAGGGATCCGGCCACAGCACTCGCCCATGAGCCAGTCACATGTCCTGACTTCTGCTCTCTGCCGCGTTCCTAGCTCTCCACTTCTTCCCAAAGGCGGTCTATGCCCTCGCGGCCTTGCCCATGCTATAAGAATAGGCGTGGGACATTGGCTACAGGTGGGGGTCTCCGTGACTTTGCTGACTTCAGATTTTCCTCTTGCCCTCACACCTTCACCTCCGTACACACCCCAGACCCCCTCTCCTGCTGTTAACCAACTGTTGTTTCGGAAATACTGCTTAGTATCTGAAGACTGAGCAGTTTAATGCATTATTTTATAGTTTCAATTCAAACAGTATTCTAGGTAGAGCCCAGTTTTTAGTGTTTTTAAGACTAATCTTCCCAAAACAAACTAGGTAATGCACTGAATGGTAAAGCTGTTTCATGAATAACCCAGTTCTAAAAAGATCTAAGAGTGGAGGTCTAATATCTCTCGGAACCTGGGTAGCATGTAATCAGTCGATAAACCACAGCAAAATTTTTCAGATATTTCCATTCCTACCCTCTTACTTCCAAATCTATAATAATTTGCAAAAAGCCAAGGACTGAATTTTCCCTTTTTGTAGCATTTGAAACACAGCACGTCTATGAGCGTTTGCTTTTAAAATCAGACACTAAAGATATGACTTAAGACCCATTAGCTTATCAATTAGAATGCAGTTCTTCCTCTGTTTCAGTATCTTCCTTTAGCACAGAAAAATGTTATGCTGATGTCCTGGCCGCACTGCAGGCAAGGGGGCTGGCCCCGAGCACTGTGCTTTCATCTAAAGGCTGAAATTTCAGTAGGATGAGCGATCAAGTTCCATTTCAAGAAAATATTTTTGCAGCCAGGATGGCCAGAAACTTCAAACGGCAACTTTTCTGATTTGAGGTAATTTCCCAAGAATTTAAGAGGCAATCATTTACTCTTGACTTCTAAAGAGAACCTGGACTTGAATAGCACAGTTGTGTCTAAAATCGATCATTTAGCAACAACCCACTGAAGTTACTTGGGAGCAGTTGAGACACCTAGACATCTGGACTGAACTATCTAGTTTGCTTCCCAGGCTGTAAATTTTCTGGCCTGAAAATGACTTTTTAGCAAAAAAGTGAAATATTTTATTAGCTGAAGTACTAAAAAAAACTTGATTATGTTGATATGAAACTCTACAGCTGTGAAACTTACATCTAATCTTCAAGGCAATGTGCATTTAAGAAAATAGAATTTTAGGCCCTGGCTGGGTAGCTCAGCTGGTTACAACATTGTCCCTGATACACCAAGGTTATGGGTTCGATCCCCAGTCAGGGCACATATAAGAATCAAACAATGAACGCATGTGGAACAACAAATTGATGTTTCTCTCTCTCTAAAAATCAATCAATAAAAAAAATAAAAATAGAATTTAAAAAATTGAGTCCTGAAAATATGGATTTTAAGTTATTTTAGATGAGAACCTTATTAAACACACTGCTCTATAGGATATTCAATTAAACAAGAGAATTTAAAAATAATAATAATAATATGGTTGGGACAAATAATTCTGTCACCTGGAAATTTTCAATTTTGTTCGACCTATTTAAACAGAAAACATTTGAAAAGGACACACACATACACACTCTAGCACATGTTTTTACTGGAAATGGTCTCTGCAGAACAGCCTAAAATCCTGTACATCTCAATCTCTAAATTCTGATCTCTTTATTTATTCTCAAAAAAATTCTAAGACATGAACAGTTAGTATATAGAATTTTAAAATAAAACTGCATACAGTTAGAAAAATATGCATCATCATGGGCATATATTTAATAAGAAAATAACATTATGTACAAAAATCACTTCTGCTTATTATTGCTGCTCCCAACGTGTTTGATTTTATCACTGAGCACCACCACACAGCCAGAAGTTGGAGGGAACAGTGGTGCAAAACTCCCTCTACCCTCCTTTGGCCCCAGCATTTCATTTCCCTGTTTCCCTGGGAAGCTCCACGCCGCCCTGGTGAGAGAACACCTTCAGAATCCTCCAGAGCCTGGGAGCATCCTCACAGTTGTGCCCTTGTTCCCAGTGCAGGAGGAGCTCTTCTTTCTTCCCAAGGGTCCGTGCACAGAGGACACAGTTAAAACCTGACTGCAACTGGAGGGGTGCTGAGTGTGGGCTGGGACACGCAGGGCCCCGGGGGGCTTCTCCTGGTCCGCTGGGTCCAGGCCGGGCTCCTTCATCTTCTGTGAGTGTTTCCATGTCATCCTGACGATGAAGGCAGAGTTGCCTTTTCAATTTAGGAGCTACAGGTACCTTCTCGTCGGAGGGACAGGGCTTCTGCAGCAGTGTCCTTCTCTCGGGACGCTGCTTCCAGGAAGGAGCAGCTTGTTGAGCCCGTTCCTGTGGAGCTGCCTGGCTCCCGGGGGAGAGCTCCTCTTGGAGCCTGCCCTGAATTTCCTCTCCGTGAACATAAAGCAGATGAAACTTGATTTCGGCGAAAGACTGGGTGGTGATCTGGCAGCGGCCACACTTGATCTGCAATTTGACTTCATCTGCCTGGTTTAGGAGGAGGTCTTCTTCGGGGCTGGACTTGTCCCTGAAAAGGGGGAAAATATTCAATATAAAATTGCACGGGAAAAACAGCATTGGAACTTTTCCTTTTTTAAGCTCCGAACCATCCAAGACCTAAAACACACCTGCTGACGAGAAGCACGAAGCTGATGAGCAGACGGAGGGAGCCCAGGAAGGCCGTCAGCAGGGGCCACGCGACCCTAACGGTCACTCCTGCATGGGGCCACACACTTCCCAAGCTACCAGGGGCATTCAGGCATCGCCCCCAGGGGCGCCTACTAGTCTGGGTGACCGCAGGAACAGGCGGCATCAGCGCGAGTCTGGTGGCACCCAGGGAGGTGCTCCAGGAACACGCTGGGTTTGGCTGACAGTGCCTGTCCCACTCCACCCGCTGCTGCCATGGCTAGTCTTGAACACCAAATACAGGCTGGACATTTTACCTAAAGTTCAAAATGGAATACAGTAAAACAATGGCAGAAGCCAGAAAATCCAGCGTGGGAAATGGTTCATTTCCATGGTGCCCATGAGGATTCAGTTTAGTGAGACTCCCTGGCAGACTTGTTGCTGTAGGAGAGCCCCGCCTGCCAGGCTTACGGCTGGCTTAGCCCGTTTGTTTACAAGGCCAGCCAGCAGGACCTGCAAATCGGAATCCCGCAGGAAGAAGTTAATGTGCCCGAAGGGAAAAACAGGGCTAATGCAGAGGGTTTGAGGTCAGGACACCGTGGGGTCTGGTCGCACCGTGCCGCCACCGTGGGTTATGTGATGTTCTGGAGCAAAGGACACTGTTTAGACATAAATTCTGTGAACACCATTTGGGGAAACGACTTGTGAAGAGCACCAGGAGCTATATACAATACTTAATATTTCACATGTCAGATACAAAAACAATATGTCACCGGACTGTCCCCAGCACATCTGGGGTAGGCATTTGTGGCCTGGCTCCCAGGGGTGGTGTCGTCATAAATCATGACTGATCAGAAACCAATGAGAAATGAGATTATTCTTCACAGAACTAGAGGAAAGAGGTAGCTGTCCCACAAAATCTTAGTCTGAGAGATGTTTTACAAAGTTATCTTTCTGAACACGAAACCTTAGCCTGTCCCCACAATCCACACAGGCCGCCTCGCCAGGCTTCTGCTCCTCGGCACCCACCTCTGCACAGCCGCCTCCCTGTCTCTGCTCTTCGGTGCGTCCCCCGGTGGCAGCTCACTGGGGGCGGACTCGGTGCTGATGACGACCCTGTGCACTTCCTTCAGGTGGCCAAAGTAGACTCTGACGTGACCGAACACCTTTGCACAAAACTCACAGCACACGAGTTTCCTCGGGCGGTTCTCGCCGTGGTGAAGCTTCACGTGTGAGCTCAGGCTGCCGGAACGGACATACGTCTTGCGACAGATCCGACAACTGTAAGGCCGTCGGTTCGTGTGTGTGTTCATGTGGTCTTGAAGGTGCTGCTTGAACTGGAAGTGGTGGTTACAGATGGGACATCGGTGCCAAGGCTTCTTGATGCCAGAGAATCCATTTCTACGTGCAGAGCTGGTCCTAGGGGAAGAGGAGCTGTTGTCCTGCTTGCAGCCGAGATATTTAGGAGGGAGAGAATGACTTAACAGAAGGTCCTGTCCTGGGCCGCTGGGCCTTTGGGACTGTAGCACAGTGGCAGGAGAAGCCAGGGGAGTCATAGTGGGCGTGACGACGACAGGTTTGGGCATAATGCTACGGTATTTTTTCATAGCTCCAGGCTTTTGGTCTCTGGATTGTTGGGGGTCATTTTTTATTCTTTTACATTTCCTCCTTTCCTCCTGAAATGGCAAGATCTCATCTGGTACCTTCAGTTTCCTTCCTTTTCTCTTTGTTGCCCCGCCATTCAGTTTTGCTTTGTGGTTGAGATCCAGTTTGGTAGCTGAACAAAAGGCACTTTCACAGGGACTCTGCTTCAACACCTGCGGACCAGGCACCTTTGTGGCCATTCTGGCGGCTGCATCAGAGCCTTCTGTGATGGTGGATGTCTTGTCGCAGTCGACCCTGAGCCCAGGTGAAGAAAAGTCTACAGTGTTAACGTCTGACTCATTTTTATAAGCCTCTGTTGTTTTTGTTCTAGAGTAGGGTAGGATTGGCAGTTTACCTTTGGGGGCCGAGGGCATCAACTGAAGCGCACTGCCATAAATGGCCGGCGATAACCTGATCGTGCCTTTTGCAAGATCAAGTGGTTCTTTATGTTTTTCACTGGCAGCAACAGAAGGTTTACTGGATGTTTCTTTGCTTGCAAAGTTCTCTTTCCCTGAAATCTTCAAGAGGCCCTGCTTGGCAGAGGGCTCCTCTGGCGTGGATGATGTTGGGATGTCAGGACGGTTCAGCTGTCCATGGTCACTGGTCAGTGTGTCCACGCCGATGCCAGCTGGGGCTGGGTTCAGTGACGGCACTGGCTCGGGTGGGCTGGGACGGGGAGGGGGCTCGGAGTGGTCAGGGAGGGAAGGGGACATTTGGGTTTGGGCAGGAAGTTTGCTACAGCCACTCTCAGAGGAGCTCCGGATCGAGTTCTTGGTTGATCCTTTGTTATTTCTTGGGGGTTGGTATCGAGGAATCGGCAGTTTAAGGTTTTCAGGCAGGGACAGTCTGCGTTTCTGGACTGGCTGAGCTGAGGCAATGTGAGGCAATGCCACGAGAGAAAATGTCCCCTCCGGGCCAGCAACCTGCATCAGAGCATAATTCTGGGTGGGCACCCCCAGCGGTGTGGAGCTGACGGGAGGTCCTGGAGTCACCTGATCGGAGAGTGATGGCGAGTGGCCCGACAGCACTCTGGAAGTTAGGACTTTGGGAACAATTTTCGGTGCAATGGTCCTAAATTGACTCTTATTCTGCAAACCTCTGCCGCTCTGTATTGTTCCAGAAGGCATGACTGATTCACCTGCAATGACATTACAATGCAAAAAGTCACCTTGATATAGTTGTGCTGTTGTTGAGAGTGGACATTAAGCATCTCATCATTTACTCTGCCTAGAAGGCATCCCTAGACCCATGCCTACTCTTCTGGGCAAGCTCCTCCGTTCTTTAGCATCCAGTGTGGAAGTGGGTGCTTGCCTACCTTTCCCAAGGATCAATTATTATTCTCCTCTAAAGTTCCATAGCTCCTATATAAATAATGTTTGCTACTTCTCATAATAATTTATCTGTTTTTGTGTCTCTACTACTAAACAGAGCTTCTTGAGAGCTGGGACTCTGTCCTGCTCAACTTTACTCCACTAGGTCCGTCCCCCCCGTTACCCCAACTCCCATGTGTCTTCACAGGCTGGCGCCACCCCCCTGCTGTACTGCTCTCCTGAGCTGGCCATCCCTCTGGTCTGTTCTACTGTGTATTTTACCTATTTTATATACACATGTCTTGTTGTTCCTATAAACCTTAAGCTTTGTGAGAGTGAAGTGATATTTAATTCATCTTGATATTTCTCCCTGTATCTTCAGTATGAAACAAATGTTTCTTGTATCACACTCATTTTTCACTGACTTTCAGGACACACCATTTGACCCCTTGGCAGTGCGACTGGTTTTGCACAGTGGATGAATTCCAGACTGAATGCTAGCTTTGTGGCTGTTTCCCCATGTGACTTGTGAATTTCTTCTCACACCTTTCAAACTGTTTATGTGTGCTTTTGCAATTAAATCACCAGTATTAAAAAAGCTGATTTGACACCTTAAAAATGTTGAAGAAAAACAAAAAGATAGAAAGTGATAGGTAAAGATACAGAGACAACATAAAAAATACACAAACCCACACAAAAAGCACCTCCTAGGACACTTAGGAACAGTTTTAACTAACAGAATACCACTTTATCCTGCCCCGGTTTGTTACGACTGAACACCAATTACTACCACTCTAAGAAAACAATTCAGGAAACATGTCACTGAGCTGCTTCTAAGGACGGAATCGTCTGCTTTATTCCTGAGGCCGCAGGGTTGTGAGGCCCGGCTGCAGATCAGTCTCCCATTCCCAAGTGCCTCGTTTCAGGCAGGCTTCGCCCCAGCTCACATGAGCTGGGTCCCTACACGACTCTGGGGCCTCTCTGCGACAGGCCCACAGTCCCTTTTCTAAAATCTTAGGGGCACAATATATCCTGGAATTTCTACTTACTAATTTTTAAAAAGTCATAAGGTACACACGCTAAGTGTTACATAATACCCAACAGAGTCTGCAGAGCACCCCAAATTAAGCCTGTTACCACTTCTGTAGCCAAATATATAAATGAGTGAGTATTCACAAAAGCGGGGCAAATGAAGATTTCTAAATAGTTTTAGTTCAGGTTTTGCCTCTGGATGAGTTTTGGTATCCAATTTTTGATAACATTTTTTGATAGAGCTTTTTAGATTTTGGAATTACGAACAGAGGCGTGAAGAATTATTTCTTCAGGGTTACCAAGGATACAAAGATGAACAGATAGTTTCTGCCCTAGGTAGCTGGAATCTAGTGAGAGAGACAATTAAAACATTTTTTTAAAATCAACCTTGATTTTAATGTCTTTAGCTACTGAACTAACAATTTTAGCAGAAAGTTGATTTTTTTTTCAGTGAAAATGACACTCCTCACATGAACAAAACACAGAGTACTAGGAATAAGAAATGTATACCGACTAACTTATTTTATAAAGTAATCACTGTCTGGGAAAGAAAGGGAATGTTAAAAGCGCATTTCCCCTGGGGGCTTGCATTAGAACAAGAAGAGAAACCACCAGTGCTATGGTCTGGAAAACCCGCACACAGGTAAGTAAGTAGCCTGTCTTCCTTTCTAGCTTTGCTGCCACAAAGTTCATGGGTAAACGGATTAGTCAATCACCTGGCGATAGTCACCTAAATGGATCTGTGACATTTGCTTCTTCTTCCTTTGTAAGTTATTTATTTTTTAGTGTTATTTTCAGAGCCTTGAAAGTTAAATAAATGTCTTTCATTTTAAGCCTCATCTCATCTTTTTGGAAGAAGTACCGAAGTTGCAAATAAGTACGTTAAATTGGGATTGTGAGGTTTTGCAAAAAGATTAAAATTATCAATAGCTTTGGTTACCTAGAGACAAAGTTTATTGATAGCTTTGATTACCTAGAGACAAGGCTTGTTAAAAAATTACATTAACAACAATAATAACAGTCTTTGCATCTACATAACAGATCAGGGCGAGGAAGGAAAGAAGAGAAAACCCTGGGTCACTTATATCTAGTTCATACTCTTAATCGATTGAGCACAAAATATTTACAGCAAGAAGAGCTGGAAGAAAGGCTACTTTGTCCTTAGTCATACATCTTCTTGAAATAACATGCGACAATAATACATCAAAGCATAAGCCACATCACCTCACTTGACTGCCCTCAACCGTCCAGTGGCTCTTCATCTCAGAGCAAAAGCCAAAGTCCCTGCAATAGCCAACAAAGCCTCCTGCCATCTGGCTCCTGGGGACCTCTCTAACTATTCCCTCTTCTCCAGCCACAGTGGCTTCTTTGCTGTTCCTTCACTGTGCCACACACTCATTTCCTTGGTCTCTGCACTTGCTCTCTCAGGTGAGCTCTTCTCTGACTACCTTATTTGGAACTTACCTGCATTCTGAACTCCCCAGCCCTCCGTTTCAGTTTCCTTGGCACACTGGCTCCACCCCAGGGACTACATTATGGGCCCTGCACCCCTGACGGTGCATTCCTGGAGGGCAGGGAGCTGGCTTATGTCTTCAGGGCCTAGAATAGCATTGGGCACGTGGTAGAAATGTAATAATTACTTGTTGAATTTGTAAGTGGTAATAAAATGATTAATGGCTGAAATAAAGATTTTACAGATGGAATGTAAAACATTTTCTAAAAAATAAAAATTACTTAAAAGCAAACTTTAACATTTCCAAATGTTGAAAATTAAAAAAAAAGAAATGAGGCTATATCTCTGGAATATTGTTGTTGTTTGTTGTTTTAATTAAATTAAACTTACTGCCAGAATAAGAAAATGAGTTAGTACCATGTTAAGAACCTTTAAAATCAAGGGGTAGGTGAGGCCAACCAACTAACCATCTGAGGAAATGAGAGAGAACAGTAAATTATGCTGCTGGGATACAAACTAAAATAGTCAAAGAAGTAAGCAAGCTCTGAAGAAGAAACTGCATTAAAGAAACACAGACATAGAGGGAAAAAGGGGGGCAGTGAGAGTGTAGAATGCAGAATCAACTAGAAATGGAAAAACTGAACCTCAGAGGCAGTGGATGGTAATGTCAACACGAAGAGGAGCAGAAATAACAAAGAACAGGAGATGCAGCTGAAGCCACAACCAGTGGTCAAGGTCAACTCAAAGTCTCTGAAGACTTAAGTTGGGCAGGGCCTTCCTCCTTTTCATGACCAAGCGTAAGAAAGAAAGCAACCTCCTGACAGGTAAGGTGTCCAGAAATGAGCCATTCCAAAGGGGGTGAGCTAATTATGATGCTGTTGAAGTTAATGTGCTTTGATTGATCGTCCAAAGTTTCCACATTATAATGGAAATAAAATCACACAGGAAGAGCAATGATACTCAAAGGAAAAGGAGGCAACTGTGGTCAGGTCCCGAAGCAAAGGAGATCCTCCGGGGTGATCCGTGGTCCCAGCAAGGGAGAATACTGATGAGGGAGCCTTCTGGGGAACTTGAAACGATGAAGTCCTAGGTGACAGATATGGTGCCTGTCAAACAGTTAGTTCTCCTTAAGTTCCCTGCAATTTAGAGAGGTGGGTACGACGGTAGACCAGTTTATCAGCTGGCTTCATGATCAATTATCATAAGCTAACCACAAGAAATCTGTGGGGTAAAAAGATAAGGGCTTATTGGGTAAATTTAACTTATGCAGGTTTACCTGGATCTGTCGGAAGTGCGTGCAAGGGTGAGAGTCTTCATGAAGGTGTGTTGAGTCTCATTTCCCGGAATCAATAGGGAATACGTGATAGGGAATGAAACTGATGCGTTAGAAGAAACACAAGATAGGAGAAAAAGGGCAAAGCCACAAAAATAGAAGAAAAACCAAACCAAACCATTGGAATTCATACATGTCTAGCAACAGGGTATTAACAGAATAATCATCCACCCATACAATGTAATACTATGCAGCAGTAAAAAAAAGTAAATGATTTAGACTGATATGAAATACTCTCCAAGATGTGAGATTGATAGTATGCAGTCACTTGGATTTTAAAGATTGTGAGACACACACACACACAAAAATATATTCTTGTAAATGCATAGGATGTGACAAGAAACAAAAGAAACTAGTGCTAGGTGGCCTTCGGGTGGGGACCCTGGGAGCACTAAGAGGTCAGGAGGAGACAGGTACTTATTTTGCACTGAATACTTTTTGTGCCTTCGTATAGGAGGTGCTTATAAATATTTGTTGAAGGAGGAAAGGAGTATGAAAGTTTCCCTATCTGAATCTATTTTTAGAAGGGTATCTTTTAGGCCAGCGATTTTCAACTGGTGAGACGCAAACATCTGTAAAACACGCAGTACCTGCCTATTCAGTCAGGGGCACTGGCCTCTTTTCCCTTAGACTGTCAAACAAAAGAATGACAATAGCCACAACAACGACCATCTGGTGTGAGTGAATCATAATTATACCTATATATTTTTGTCAGATTGGCAAAAAAATATTTTTTTTGGTGTGTCGCAGAATTTGTGCAATTAGTTTGTGTGTGCCATGAGCTGAAAAAGGTTGAAAATCGTTTTGGGCTTTTCATGATGGGTGAGTGTGTGGGTGGGAACACACAACTATATCTAGATTACACACAGAAATGTCTCCTGTTTTTTATTTTCCTTGTCTACTCAGTCACAGGAATTGCTAATGATAAGGGCATTGATCTGATGATATTATGGGCAGTGCAAAGCCACCCTGAAAAGTCAGGCACCTAGGAGTGTCAGAGCTCATTACCT